TTCACAAAGTGACTAACTCGTCTTCATACAAAAGTAATCTAAGTCAGATTTTGGGGACAATATTACACTCCTTTTAATTATCAATAATATCATTAGTACACATGAATGTGATGAATAGAAGCTTATTTATATTTCAAAAATTAACATATTTTATGTTAGCCAATCACCTTTGGTAAGATTTGTGCTACCTAAAATTAAGGATCAAATTGAGATAAGCAAAATTCCCTAGAAAACCATTTAAAAGAAAACTTTAAGAGGGCATACACAATCAAAAAAAGCGAAAATATACCTTTTTATTGTAGAAAGCCTTTATAAACCTCTTACTTCAAAGGTTAGAAAAATCTTCAAGTACTTCACAGTCAGTTTTTTTTTGTTTGAAAATTTTTTTATTATTGATATCAAAGATATTACTTGATTTTTCTTGATTACTGGAAGTCAAGTTTTAGAATAAAAAGGTTTATAAACAAGAATAAAAGTGTGAAAGTAACTTTTGAAATTATATTTCAAGTTGTTTAATGAAAGTATTAAGACTTTATTAGCAAAAAATATAAAAATTTTATATAAATATCTTTTTTGTATATAATCAGAGAATCAACAGAAAGAGTTTTTTACTTTAACTTTAAAAAATAATATTTCACAAATTAATTTTTTTATTTTTTAAAATTTTTTTATCTTTAGTAAAGAAAGTATATACTTGAGTCTGTTTATATTATTAAAGATTCAAGTTTTTGTTTAAAAAAATTTATAAACAAGTAATAGAGAATAGTAACTTTTGAAAACAAGCTTCAAATTGTTTTAAGGAAATTGTAAAAAATTTATTAGTCAAGAAGCATAAAAATTTCTTGTAAACATTTTTTTATAAGTTATTAAAAGCTTGACAAAAAGAATTTTACTATTATATTTTATACTTTATAATAGTTATAGATTTTATAAATAAATATATTATTTACAAATTTTATTTAAATTATTTTTTATTATAAAACAAGTTACAATAAAGTTTTATTTCCTTAGTTTATAAAAATTGCTTGATATATAATAAAATTTGATTTCAGTTTTATTAGAATTTTGTTATAATAATTGAAAAAATTTTGTTAATATCAAAAAATTTAATTAAGTTTATATTTTTTTTATAAAATTTTTATTTATTTATTATTAGATAGCTTTTTTTTATATTAAACCACAACTGGTATTAGATGTGAGCTCTTTATTGATAATTAAATCTTAAGCGTTACATCAATCATCTCATATATATATATGCAGATTAATAATAACATATCGCAGCTTGTCTTAGGCAGACCTGTTTGAAACCTCTCTTTAAGTGAACATGCCTGACTAGGAGCTGGATAGTTGATAACAGTTATCAATGGTGATGTTGGTATAGTTAGTTAATTCTGTTAATAAGGGACTACTATTCTAACTTATACACTAATATCAAATCTTCAAGGATTATTTTAACTACCCAGATACCTTGATACTTTTCACTTGAACCTCGGAAGAGATTTCTATCTTCTTTGTCACCATCTGCAGCATCATAGACAAGTCCTGTTTGATAGGTCCTTCATTTAAACAAGTATTGGATTGAGATATTCCAAGTTAGGGTAGTCAGATTTCAGAGTCTGCTGGTGCAGTTTTGGGGTAAGGAATGTTCAGACAATTGCCGCAGTCCTAAAAGCAGGTCCCAGAATCTGCTGGTACAGTTTGGGGTTAGTGTTATGTTCAGATGATTATCACAATCCTAAAAGTGGGGTTCTGAGGTTTGTATCCTGTTCAGTTCAAGGAGAATTAGGTCAGGCATAATTCATATAACCAGACTAGAGACCTTTCTTTATGCAATCCTTGTGATAGATTCTTTTCAGCCCAGTGATCAATAGGGAGGCCAAAAATCCCATCCTCATATAACCTAATTATTTTTTCTTACATGATCCTTGTGTGGTATTAAACTCTAAACCTTGTGATTGTGACCTGGGAGCACTACCACTGTGCTATAGACTCACAGATCTTTAGCTTTATTTTAAATATTATTATTTTTAATTTATAAAAATATAAAATAAAAAATTGAATAAAATTTTTAGAACTTTAGAAAGCTTTTACAAGAAAAAAAAAGAAAAGTAAAAGAAAAAATTCAAGATTGATTATTAATAATAAAAAAAAATAGAAAAGTTAAATATATTAATATCTAAACTTGTGAAATAGACTTTAAAAACTAATCAAGATAATTTAAACTTTTGTATAGAACTTATAAGAAAAATAATTTTATTTTAAAAATGATAACTTGAAATATTATGAAAAAAAATTGAAAAAGAAATAAAGAAATAAAAATAAAAATGCAAAAAAGAGTTTATAATCAATTATAAGATATAAGAAGATAATTGAATAAAAATAAATATAAGAAATCCATAAAAAGTATAAAATAAAAAGATCTTTAATGTTTTCTTGATCAAAAATTTATATTTTCAATAAAAAAATAATTATTACTGAAAGAAAAGAAATATATAAACAAAAGTTTAAAGGAGATCTTAATAAGAAAGATTAGATATATAATAAATTAATTGAGCTTTAAACTTTGCTAAAACCTTACATAATGATCTATAGTAATAATTTGTAAACAATAATATTAATAATTGAAAGACCTTTATTTAAATTAATAGAGTAATAAATTACTTTCAAAGTTGTACTTAGAGTTTTAGAAATAAAATATAAAATGAAAATAAGTAAGTTAAATAGAGATTTGGCTTTAGTGAAGCATTTTAAAATGTATAGCATACAAATATTTAATAAAGTGCACATATCTAGCCTAACAAAAAAATTTTATTATAATAAAAATATTATTGAAAATTTTTCAAAAATATTGTCACCCATATAAACAAGTTTAATTGTAATATCTTAAAAATTTTTAAATTAATTTGATTCAAAAATAAAATAATAATTCATTGATATTACCGCTATTTAATAAACTATATTTTATTTTCATTTATATTATAGATAAAAAAAATTGCATTTATATAAAAATTTTTTTGACGATGCAATAATTATGGAAGTCACTGTAGTAGTTCGGTTTTGCTTTATGATGTTTTATTCTTGTATTTTCGATCTAATTAGCAATTTCTTTTATAATTTTCTTCTCATCCTCTGCCTCAAGCTTAATGACTCGTTGTTTTAACAAATATAATTCGGATTGCATGTTTGATGATATTTTTTATAATATATAGATCGTTCAAAACTAAAATCACAAAAAAAATCTGAATTATTCCGCGTGACAATTTGTCACGCCAATCACATTTGCCAAGAAAAAAATAATCACGACTATACATAAGTACATTATCAGCTTCCTATACTCACATAAGCGATTGATATATATTCCTACAAATCGCCGATAGATATCTTGTATCCATAACATATTAGAATGTTTTTTAAAATAAAACTCGCCCTCGAATGGTAGCTCGAAAATAATTTTTATTGTTGATGGCTGAAGACTATCATCGAAAACCGACTCAATGGCAGACGCATACTTGGCAACCAAAGGCTTGATACTGTTTTCCCACTTTGATTGGTGCACTGTATTCAACTTTTCTTCAACCGATGGTTCCATCTAAAGAATATACAAGGTTAATGCTAATTGTTATCTAAAGCTGATGATTAATGCAATACATACTTCTTCCCAGAATTTTCTTATTCTTTTTTTATCACCATCCGAAAAGACTTTATTTAGCGGGTCAGTGAAATTTTTTTCGGAATACAATATTCAAAAAGGCGATAGTTCACATTTTCCATTTTTGCGATGAGGTGTCGAATTTTAGTTATGCATTCCCATTCGTGTTATCGCTGTCATCTTTGAGGCTATCAGAATGAGCCAGTAAAAAGTCGCATGGAGGGAAAGTGTGAACTCCGAAATAGCCAGTAGGGGCAATATTATTCGAAAGAGGCATGACAAAATTCGAGAGGGAGCGTAATTGCGAACGCAGGAATCAAGCTGAAGAGTCATTTTTACTCGTTTTGTTTGGTTTGATCTTCATTATTGCCCTAAAGTATAAAATACCAAGTAATTAGTTCTGGTTAATCTTCTGACTAATCATTTTACATGGATCGATCTTCTTGGTGGAAATATTAAGAGAGATGTGAAATGATCAATGCTTATAAGTCTTTTTATATTCACTTACATTAGTATATTATAAAATAAAAAAATAACCCACAAGATTTTGCTTTTTACTACCAGAGTTACTTTCACCATTTTCCAAGCACATATTTAGACGTCTCGTATATTTCTCTCTCACGAATGATCTTGCTGGAAAATTAAACGCGCAACCTTCGTAGTATGTTCTTTATATGACAATAAAAAGGTAGGAAACATATTTAGTGTTTCTATCAAGCCATATATCTTGTTATATCAGTATCAAATGCTTCCCTCCATACCGTCAAAGTAGTTTCGTTCACTTATTGATTCAACTTTTCGTTTATGCGATGACATAATACTTTTCCAAAAATCCTTATCTAGCTGTGATTTCTTCTCATTCTATTAAATGGTGTAGTATCAATAACAGCCAAAAGAAAGTACTACTCTTTGGGAACTTCGCACAAGACTAGAGTCAGGACAGAACTACCACGAGCCGTAGATCATCACCTCCCGATCGTAATCAGAAGGTGTGGGTAGTTGAACGCAGATCATAATCCCATCCAAAAGACTATCGTCCCTCGGATCTGTCCACTGACAACCAGAAAGGAATAACAGATAGGGTGGAACCACCACGAGCCGTAGATCATCACCTCCCGATCGTAATCAGAAGGTGTGGGTGGTTGAACGCAGATCGTAATCCCATCCAAAGGACTATCATCCTTCAGACCCACCCACTATCAAACCAAAAAGAAGAAATTACTTAGCTTCAAATATAGAAAGTGCATTTCCAATCAACTTTATTTCAGTTCATTTACTCCTTTCCCTCTCAATATGTTTGAGAGTTTGCGAATATACCGAGCGTGTTCTTTTTTATCGAGCCGGAAATAACTCTGTTGTTAGCGGTAGAGAAGGAAACTAAAGACCAGCTACGGTCAGAAATGAAATAGACAGGACTGGATCTTTTTTTTAACAGATAAGATAAAAATCTAAAAATAAAACGTGCGGAAATACGCATGCAAATATTCCATTATCATGTGAAATCTTGCCTATGAGGAAACTGCGGTTACGATTAGTGAGTCGGGCATCACGAGTGGCAAGACTTTTATTAAGGTTTCTGGAACTCGCTCGATTTCGTTATTTTTTTCATTAATGATATTCTGGTGGTAAGATTGTTAATAATTTCGACCGATTTGTTCAGTGATAGTAGTGTTGATCTTGGCTTCACGAGAGTTTGTTTCATCGACGATTATTTGTCTGCCATCACACAAAAAGAACCATATGGCAATGAGCCCAACACATAAATGGATATTTTCGGGAATCATTAACGGCAAAAAACAAAGAAGCTATTACAACCATAAAAGGCATATTTTCTGAAATGTTAAATGGTTGCATTTATGCGAAGAAAATTCGATTAGAATAATAATCGTGGGTGTGTAGATATTTAGTCGCTAAGTTTGATGGATTCGCTTTTGAAAAAGATTAAATTTTACTGTGATGCTTTATTATTGATCGAAACATAAGGTGTGCCTGTCCTTACAAAAAATATTTGTAAAAATTAGGTTACACGAAGACATGTGCTGAAAAGCAATAGTAGAGCTAGTGTCGTGGTCCTTAAACAGCCCACGTAATCTATATTATCAGTATACAAAGACTTACAAAATAGCTTAAATTTTTTAATTAGTATCAATTCCATAAATTTTTGTAGTACTTTCATTGTACTATTCAAATTAAATCATAAAAATTTGCTAGAATTTTATTTATATACTGTATATACTGTATATGATAACCTGTTATGACTTGTCCTAGGTAGACTTATTTGAAACCTCTCAAATAAGAGAACATGCTTGTCTAGAAGTTGAATAATTGATACACAGTTATCAATAATACTGTTAATATAATTAGTCTGAAACTATATATCATCAAGAAATTTTTTTGGCAAAAATCTCTAGAGATTTTTAGGCATAAAACTCTAAAGGCACTCTGTTTTTGTTAGAAATCTTCAGAGCAAAGATATATATATATAACTCTAGAGAAATTCGCAAGTCTTAAATTGTAATAGAATAATATCACATTATTATTAAAATATTTATTTTTAAAAATTTATTTATTGAAAATTACTTTTTTTATATATTTTTATTAATCAATTACATTTATGTTACTCATTACTAAAATAAACCTTGACCTACGGGTCCATAGTGTAGTGGTTAGCACTCCGTAGGTCAGATCACAAGATCCAGTTTCAATTTCACCCAAATACACAACAGATCGAAGAATTGTATCTGTCCATTGGTATAACTGTAAACTAACTGATGTTTTTAAATATAGCATTCAGTTTATATCTAAATTATAATTAGGTTGTGATCCGAATCGGATAGGATCATCATTGACACAACCGTGTTACCAGAAATGGTAGCAAGAAGAGTAGATTCCCAAAACTGGTAGCATGCCTCTCAGGACCAAAACAAGAAAACAACTTGTCCAGGGACACAAATAACTTCATACAAAAACTCGTGTACAAGAAAAAGACTCTTCTAATTTAAGCCAGTCCCAGTTCTCATGCATATGACTGTGCCGAGTTTCACAGACTTGATTATCGGGAGGCCTTGGTAGAAGGAGAAATCTGCGGACTACTCCAAAGGATCAAAAACCAGGATTCAGAATACTGAATTCGATAGCCTGATAACTAGAATACTCTTAATAAAAAATTGTTCCAGGAATAATTAAGACAGAATCGCACAGGCTTCCAGTTTGTTGTTGGGCTGATAATGGTGATATATAGCATTAGTTAAATATATACATAGCTATCCATATAGATATGATTTACTATAACATATATGTAAAACTACTTATTTGTAATAACATAACAATTTCGATTAATAAAATTACAAATTAAGCTTATAGCCTTAAAGGAAAATTTCTACAGGATCCTAATTAAACATTCATTATCCCACATAATCAAGAAATATTGGAAGAACTTCAAGAAGATCATATATAGACGAATACAATTGGCCAACTCCAGAACCTTCAACTTACTGATCCGAGGTGCAGTACTAAAGGAAATACCTGGAACACTTGATACAATTATATCAAGCAAAAACAAAGTGATAGAAACTATAATGAATATAATGAGAAAATAAAAAGAGCTCTTATATGACATATGGAGACAAATATGTGAGGAAACTTATGAACAGGAAGCTCCTAAAAGCAGAACCAAACTGAACAAACAAAAAGAACCAGAGCAAAGAAAACCAAGAATCACACAAATCTGATTGCTGTATAATAGTCCTTACTAAACTTGACTGGAATAGTAAATCGATACATAAATAAATACATTAAATACCAAACTAACATTTTCTCTATCATATCTTTTTATATAACAACTAGCATGGTCTTGGCATGTTAGTTTCTTCTCCCAAGGAAGGGCAACAGGCCACGAGGTAGCCATGACTTATCGAGTTTTACTATTACTGAATATACATCCCTGTATTATAGTCATAACTATTTAGTATAAATATAATTTGGAAGAATAATAAAACAAGGCTGCGCCAGTTAAAAAAAAAAAAAATAAAAAATAAAGTAGACCTTTCTATTCCTATATTTTTCAATTGCAATCCCAGATCATTTTTATCATTTTCTACTTTTTTTAGAGTACTTTGAAATTCAATATCTTAATATTCATGCATTTCTTAATCTTCATCGCTTAAATTGCCTTCTGTAATTCTGATTTTCTTTTTAATTTTTTCTAAAAATATTTTACTATTAAACAAATAACTCTATAAAACTTCGAAGTATTTTAAAACTTACCTTATTTTTTTCTATTTTACTTTTAATTAACACTTCATTAATTAAAATACTTTCATTATGCAGATTTAGAATCATTTGGCATATTACAATAATAAATGCAACTTGTTTCTTGGAGGCATCCCCTTTTGGCCAAACTTTTTTGAGAATATGTGCCATCACGCTTTGGTTTTCCCCACTAGAACAGACATGAAGATTTTTGAAGCACTCCAGGATTTTTTGCAAATTTTTTCAAACCATAATTTCGATAGCATTGCATTTGTATTGATTATATTTAGAAAGTTTTCATCAAAGACTAAAAACATGACATTTCAGATTTTTGAAGCCATGGTCCCTCAAAGCAATCTGTGTTGTCACACAAGCTATTAAATAAATAATATTGTTAATAAATTTATTTATATTATTAATAACTTCAATAATTATCATTTAATGAATATGCTTTTCATAATATATTTTCCAATATTTTCTTGTAAGGCCTTCAAAAAACTCTGAATGTTCTTGCTGAAAATATTCCTCTGTATGCCAGTGAAAATCTTCAAAATTTACATATATTTTTTCAAAAAAGACTTTATTTGTGATACTTTTGATCACATGCTATTATAGAATTTAAAATGTTATTTAAGTTCTTCAAAAATTAAAAAATTAAACCTTACCTCGATAAAATCCTGTTTGGTGATTAAATGTTAACTTGTGTAAATTTCGTTTTCTAGATAGGTAACCTTATCCTCGACAGCTTTTTGACATTCTAATAACTGATCAATTTTTTTATAATGACTTTTGTAGAACTCCAAAAGCCTCTCGATTATTATATTAGAAACTAAATATACAAATTAGTATTTATTTAAATAGTTACATCTTTTTTAATATATCTAAAGATTCTTTAGGCAGCCTCCTAGTAGGTGAAAATTCTAGAAAATAACTGGAAGATCTTAATCACTTCCATGTCAGTTTTGTTTCCATTTCAATATGAGGTGGTGATCTTTATTCTTTAGCTTGAACTGGGATACGAGAAAAACTCTTGGGCTTTTTGGAGGATTTCAAAGTACTTCCTTGTCATTTTCCAAAGCCTGAACCTGAAATCATTTTTTGAAACATATTACACTTTTCTTTTCTTTTATTTGATATTAATAAAAAAGAAAGGACTTTAGAGATTTTATATAACACACATCCCAAGAAGTTATGTTATATTATGACCACATGCAATTCTTTGTCACCTTTCAAAATTACTTCATAGTTTTAAAAATGAAATAATATTGAAATCATATTGACAAAATTATAACAATTTATAAATTAAATTAATTAAATTTCTGATTGGCTAAAATTAATCAATATTTTATTGAACAATTTTACATATTTTGAAACTCTTTAAAGTCTTTTATAATGAATTTCAAATATCAATTTTGTCAACATATGTTTTCAAGACATTTCTCCTATACAAGGCATGCAAACAAATATATATTGACTATAGACTCTAATAATGAATCTAATGATAATTTAAATAAATTAGAACTTTCAACAATTTCAGAATCATTTTAAAATATAAAGAGTATTTCGAAGATATTCAATAATATTTATTTGCTTATTTAATATTTATTTATTAATTAATGTTATATTGTTTTAGAGTCCTCTGAAGTATATTAGCTTTTTTGAAAATAATGTTTCCTCAAATAAAGATTTTTATAATAATAATTTTTTAGAAGATCCTTTAGATAGTTATAATTCTTCAGAAAATTCCAAAGATACCTTTAATAAATTTCCTAATGAAGTATATGTGGATTTAATAACACTTGTTTTAAAAAATAATCTCAGTACTTCAACTGGAAATGAAATAATTTTTTTTTTTAATAAACATTCTAGTTTATCGATTAGTTCTTTGCCAAAAAATATTCAACAAGGATATAAATTCATGAATAATATAAAACAGCTGAATTTAGATTATTTCAAAACTTGCATATTATCTTATAACAATATAAAATACTTCTTATATTATTGGTCAATTATTAGTTACATTAAAAATATTCTGGAAGTTCTTAATATTTTTGAAGAATATTAAAAAAACTTTGAAATATTATATCAAAATAATCTGGTAATTAAATTATTTTAAATTAAATGTTTAATTTTATTTATATTTATTGATTATTTTTTTATAGAATAATAAAGAACAAAATAATTGCGACTGGTAAAGAGATGCAGAGAATTCTATTCCAAAAGATTCTAAATTACTTTCTATAATTTTATATTCTAATGCAACTAATTGCAATACTTTGGAAAAAGTTCATTATAT